GAGGTGGATTGATTCAGTGACTGGGATAATTGGGATGGGAGTGTCAGAGACAGTGCGATTGGCACAGGACAGAGCGGAGTTTAGGGCTGCTGTACCTATGTACAGGGTCGCTATGAGTCGCAAGCGACTCGACGGCACATAACAACGACAACATTATTATCTCTATATATGAAATACATTTTGAATTCCAAACAAGTAGATTAAAAATAAAGTTCTCAAATGCAGCTTGTTTCTAAGTTTTTTCTACCATTATACTTGATTGTATTAATTAGAATTTGATGAAAAATAGTTAAATAAAACTATACTTTAATTTTAAAATGTCACTATTTTATAGGGTTTGCCACCAAAATTATTTGCCTTACTAAGAATTTTTTTAAATGCACTTAGTAATTCATTAAAAAGTTAAAATTATACTTGGAATAAGCATTTCATGGTAATAAGGTTCTAACATGTACTAATAAAAAACTGTCTACAGTTTAACAAATCCTTTTTATTACATTGACTGCCAAGAAAAAAAGCTTTGCTCCAAAGATTATGCATGTGCTGATGTATACAGCTAACATACAATTTAATAGGAATTAATTTAGTAGTACATTTGTCATATATGTGACATTTAGCTATAAAACTGGTTATTACAGTTGTTACTTGGCTTCCATTTGCAAACTTCCAGTCAGTCTATGCCATTTTTTTGACCAGAATCAGATTTTCCTGTAAGAATGTATGACTGCAAAATCTGAGAGTTCCTTTTGTTGATATTTACTTCCTAATTTTGTACTTATTATTCACTGAGAGTGTTGATTGTTCTTCAAAAGACATTGCCGCCTTGTAACTGCAATTTCTGTTTTATTTTCTTATCTATTCCATTAGGATATTTCTATTTGGATAAGAATTTCTTTTATTATCTTGGAACTTGTTTGCTTCTTGGTTTCCCCCCCAAAATATCACTGTATAGAGAATATTTCATCAGCTATTTTAAGTTTTACTTGATACATTTCATAAACCATTTAATGTCATGATATTCTTTATAGACTTTGACTGCATTTTTTAAAAGGCTTTGAACATTTGCTTGTTGAGGTACTAAATTTATGTGTATTAACTGACTTCATGGTAGAAAACATCCTATCAAGTTTTCCAGTTCTAGTGTTCATTTCCTGAGTAATAACTTTATCAAAAAAATCCACAATTTTCTTTGTTACATTGGAAGAAGTCTGTGGGAAGTTACAGGGTTTATTTAAACATCCATTTTCTAACACCTCCTTATTTGTTTTTATCTTTGTTTCATCCTCTACTACTCTGTATTCCACTTTACGAGATTTTTTCCTCCATGATTTGGGCCCAATTTCTCTGAGGTTGGGAATAATAGGTTGAACATTAGTCAGAGAATTGAGGAGTCTGCAATTTTTTTGTAAAACAAGATTTGTTCTTCTATCTGGGTAAATATTTTCATTTCCAGTATGTTGAGCAAGAAACTTTTTTTGGGTCAAAAATAACATTTGTATATATTCCGAGTTGTGGAAGATTAAGGGATTTGTAGAATGACTTTGTTCCTGTGAATTAAGGAAAAGAATATTTAGTACCCAGTTAACTGAGACAAGAAAATGACAGAATTTTAAAACATAAAATGTAAATATTATAAAAATTCTAAAAATTACTATATAGTAAGACTTAATATTATCAACAGTGGTGTTTAAACACACATACCAAAATATACTTGAATGTTAAATACTTTATTCTCTTCTTAATAGTCTACAGAGATGTTTGGAGTAGAATTTACAGATTCTTTTTTTTTTTAAATTTGATTATTTGAGTGTACCGTCAAATCAGATCTGACTGGTACAGGAGGGGATTGTCCCTCCTTCCCCTGCAGAGCATCTGGTAGATTTGAACTGTGCGCCTCTGGGATTGCAGTGCAGCTTCTTGCCACTAGGCCACCAGAGCTCCCCTACAGATTCTTAAAAATCTTTTGAAAAGATACTGGACTAGGAAGAAATAAGTGTACCTCTAAATATATAAAGTGTTTTAACTAGGAAATAGGACGATTGGGAAGGCGTTGTATTGCTCTAAAATTTACTTGTTCCCATGACCTCAAAATAAAAGTATTATCAGCAAACAGATTGAACCAAAGATCAAAAGATAATTGCAAATCAAAATTATCAAGTTTAGATATTCTACTAAAAAATTAAAACTCATCTTCACAACTGTCATATGTCCCATTATGCTCCAGTATATATAACACATAAAAATTGTTCAGCAAACATTTTTAGAATAAAAGAACTAAAGAAATAGATTTATTTGAAAATAAACCGTCTTTATCACAGTGAAAAAGTCTCAGTGTAAAGCTATTTATTAAATTTATCCTCATCTTCCATTAGGGCAATAAGATAAGCCTCAAAGAAACTGAACACATATGTCCAGTTATCAGTATTGAGTTTGTGAATTTTAAGGCAATGGTTAGTATTTCTCCTTTTAAAACTGTAATTAATGAAATATGGTTTTGGCTTAATTGTACCCAAGAATCTATATGCAGAAAAGATCATCTGGAAGGCTGGGCGCTATGAGGAGGAATGTGGTCTCAGGATTGGAGGCAGACTCATCAGCCACCTTTGTTATGCAGATTATACAATCTTGCTTGTTGAAATTGAGTGTTGAACACACCATGGACTGCCAAAAGAACAAATATATCTTGAAAGAAGTACAACCAGAGCGCTTGCTCCTTAGAGACAAGGATGGTGAAAATTCATCTCACATACTTTGGGCATATTGTCAGGAGGGGTCAGCCCTTGGGAAGAGTTATGCTGGAAAAGTGGAGTACCAAGTGAAAGTGAGAAAGATCCTCAACAAGATGGATTGACACAATGATTGTAACAACACGTGGTGGAGAGCATGAAGATCGTGTTGCAAGATAGAACAAGGTTCTTCATAAGGGCCTCTATGAGTTGTAGTCAATGAAATATAACAACATTAATGAAATGATAATAACAGAAGACCTAGTTTTGGAATCTGTTTGGCAATGCCAATATTACCTATTTAGCCACAGTTATGCTGGTGGTGTTAAGTTGCCTATCTACCAAGGTGGGTTATAACTGCCAATCAGCTGGTCTGTGCAGTACCTTTGGGAGTTTTCCACTTTACATGTCTATGCACATCTTAGGTAAGGGCAGAAACTGACTTGTTCAACTTGCCTTGAGGGTAGAGTCTAACTATGTGACCCAAGCTTTGTCAATCACATATACCTATGAGAAACTTCAGCTCAGAAACAGGAAACACCATGAGAACTGTAAAAACTATGTTAGTCAAAACAATAACAACAACCGCTCCAAAAAGCCCAACCAACCAATCAACAAGCAAAAAACTGCATTAGTGAAGGTGAGGGAGGGATGCATCCAGCTATGAAGAACAAAAGCAGCAAAGGGCTTAGAAATACTGTCCTCTGCTCAGAATCAAAGCTGTAAACCTTGTCTGTGACAATAGCGTGGGCCCCAGTGGAGCAGTCTGGGACTGTAAAATTAGAGTGATCCCGACTCAGGAGCTTTCAAATCAGCTCCTCCATCTGTCCTTCTTAGAGATTCTGTGAACTGTCAATAATAAATTAATAAATTAATAAATGCATTTTTCTGGTTGAAATTGCTCAGATGATTTTTGGCAAAACAGCATAGTTGTGTTTTGATAAAATACCATTTTTATTTTTTGTTGCGTGTGTTGTTGTTGGTGTGTGCTATCAAGATGCTTGCGACTCATAGCTATCCTATGTACAACAGCTCTGAACCCTTTTCTATTCTGTGCCAACCTTATTGTCTCTGTCACACTTACCACTCCCCCAACCCAGTCAAGCCATCTCATCAAGGGTCTCCCTCTCTTGCACTGTTCCTCAATGCTTTCAAGCATGATATCCCTTTCCAAGGACTGGGCCCTCCTTGCAACGTGCCCAAAGTATGTCAGACAAAGGAGCTTCAAAGGAGCAACTTGGTTTCACCCTCTCTAGGATAAACCTATTTGTTCTCCTAGCAGTCCATGGTATATTCAATACTCTTCTTGAGCACCACAGCTCAAAGGCATAAATTCTCCTTCTATCATGTCTAGTCACTGTCAAGATTTCTGATGCATAGCAAGTAATTACTGAGACTATGGCCTGGATCAGGTGCACCTTAGTTTCCAGACTGACACCATTGCACTTCAGTACTCTGGAGAGGTCCTTGACTTTCCCCAGTGCAATTCGTCTTTTGATTTCCTGGTTGCTGGTATAGTCAAGCAAAATCTGAGAAAACTTTTTAAATAAATGTCTAATTGGTGCAAAGGAATCCCTAATGTTGGGGCAGCCCAGCTTCATTGCACTTGAATTCAGTGTGTCTCATAGCTACCCTCCACAAAGTTTCTAAAGCTGCAAGTTTTTGTAGGAAGAGACTGCCCATCTTTTTCCCTTGGAGAAGCTTATGTATTCAAACGGCTGACCTTTTGGTTAGTAGCTCAAATGGAACTCATTATGTGCCACCAGAGTAGTGGTTTTAAGTAAGTGTTAGGAATTTGGTGGATGTTATCACATTAAAATGTAAACCAAGAGCTAAGAAGTTTAGATGGAAAATTCCCACAAGCAACATTGTCAGTACTGACTCATGTTGATTTCATATGTGCAGGGTAGAAGTGCCAAATAGAGTTTTGAAAACTGTGCCCTTCTAGAAGCAGATTTCTAGGCCTGTCTTTCAAAGTGTTTCTGTGTAGATTAGAACAGTCAACCTTTCACTTGGTTGTTAAGCACTTAACTGTGTCACCCAGGAAGTCTTTTCAAGTACCATTAATGTGCTTATTTATTAAGCAGTAATAGAAATTTTTTTACCGTCTGAGAAATTTCTTTCTTTGATGAATCAATGCTGATTATCTTGGCATTTGGCTTTTTCAGTTCATCCTCAAAGCTCAAGGGCAGCAAAGTTTTCTTTCCTACTGCACAGTGCTCACTTAATTGATCGTTTCTCATTGATCTACTTTCTTTTATAGTAAAATAATTCACCTGTGATGAATATTTTTTTCTGAAAATGAACACAAGTTCAGATATGTATTTGCATTTTTCTTAAAAAGAAATTTTATTGAAGATGTTATTGTTGAGAACACACACACACATAAATTCAAGAGTTTCTACATTTACAGTTCAGTGACATTGACTACATTTTTGGAGTTGCCAACATAAATGATGTATTACAATTTTTTAGCCGACGAGTTCTTGTCTGTTTCCTCTGATCTCTAGCAATCATTGCCAACACATCCACTGCAGACTTTCAAGCTGACAAGATCTTTTTTCTTTGCTTAATTTGTGGGAGAAAATAACACCTCACTACACCCTCAGAGGTGAGACCACAGCAGATACGTATGTCTCTTTAGTATTTTAGTCAGGAGAGGGAAGATTACATAGGCTGAAGGAAACACTATACATAGCAGTGTTTGTTGTCTCCCACTGAGATACTTAGAGAAAACTGCTTTCATGGTGACAGCTTGCTAACATAAAGAATAATCCTAGTTCAGTTATGGGGCTGGAAGGTTATGGTTAAGTAGAGAACAGATACAGTTTTCCTTTTAGAATTCCCTTGATTCATATGTGACATGAACACTGAGTTTAAATTTGCCAAGATAATTTTCATTGCAAGGATGAAGTAACTAAGGGTAGGTGAAGTATATACAGGTTAGGTTAAAGAGAAATGAAGGACATGACAGCAACTTTGAGGGTTCTGCTATACCAATGAAGTTTGCACATGGGTCCAATCCAAATTTAGAGAGAAAAGACCTTGAGTTCTTGAACCCGATGCTCATGAAATGTGGGAATAGCACTGGCTAGAACTCTTGATCAAGGCCCTTTTCCTTCAGTTTCATACAGACCAGTGAGATCCTTATTCATAGTCTCAGATACCATCTTGGGAAGAAACAGAAGGATTGTGTTAAACTTGAAGAGAATGTACATTATTTGGTTTTTAAAAAGTTTAAAACACTCTGCATAATTATATGTGTGTGTGTGTGTATGTATGTATGTATAATAACAAATATGTTAAGCCCTGGTGACCTAGTGGGTAGGGAGTTGCACAGCCAATCCAAAGGCAGGCAGTTTAAAGAGGAGAAGCTACTCTACAAAAAGATGACGGGCAGTTTCCTTTCATGTCATTTACAGCCTCTGAAAAATTTCTGGTCAGCTGTGAGTCTATTCCAATTCAACAGCACATAAAAACAACAACAACATATTTTTAGTCACAGAGGCTGACTGGGTCATGATAAAAACAAATATATGGAAAGTTAAAGAGGCTATATCCTCCCATATCCATGTTATATTGTGACTAAATTTTTATTTCTACTGGGGAAACACAGGCTTTTCTAATAAAATAGGTTTTTCATCAACAACCTGCATTATGCAGATGACACAATCTTGCTTGCTGAAACTGAAGAGGACCTGAAGCCTATGCTGTAGAAGGTCAACATCAGAAAGACAGAGATTCTCGGCGAGCTCTGGTGGCCTAGTTGTAGGAAACTGCACTGCAATCCCAGAGGTGCGCGGTTCAAATCCACCAGATGCTCTGCTGAAGGAGGAACAATCGCCTCCTGTACCAGTCAGATCCAATTTGACGGTACACACATAAAAAGAATAAATAAATAAATAAAAATTATCTAAAAAAAAAAAGAAAGACAGAGATTCTCACCACTGGGCCTATTGGCAGCACCATGATAGATTGGGGTTGTTAACAGTTGCAGCTTGCTCAGCTCCGCAGTCAACACCAGTAGTCAGGAAATCAAAAGGCGAATTGCATTAGAAATATCTGCTGTTTGGGACCTCTCCAAAGTGCTAAAGAACACTGATGTCAGTCTAGAGACCAAAGCATGCATGATTTAGGCTATGGTCTTTGCAATTCCTTGCTGGATATCAGAGAGCTGGACAATGACTAAGGAGGACAGAAGAAGAATTGACGCTTTTATGTTGTGGTGCTGGAGAAGAGTATTGAACACATAATGGATTTTGAAACTTTGTTTGACATACTTTGGGCATGTCGGGTCACTGTAACAATATCAAACTGCAGAAACAGAATTGTGCCCCACTCTACATATTTCTATCCTTCAACTTTGAGTTTATAGTACTACGAAAGTGTGCTTAAAATTTAGACAGTACAAATTAGGCAAGTTCTCTTAGACCAGTCATAGGATAGGTAAATAGGACTAAATAGTAATAAGAAGTCAGGACAAATTCATAATGGCCTACTAGAAAATAAAAAGCATAATTAATTAAAAACTTAACTGAATAAAAGAAGCAAAAAATTTTAAAATTACCTTTTAGTTACATAATTTTCTAAGTGGTCAACAGAATCAAGTCCTTCTAGAGGTTTATGCTTGGTTTGAGCTGAAATGAGAACATATTTTGATAAAGAAGAAATATCTATATTTTAATATTTTAAAAATATCTTGTCTAAAATAACTTAGGATTGAAAATGGCATATGAAATCTCCAAGTGTAGAGACCAACTCGTAGTAGATATTTCACTAACCCTAGCAAGTCAGAGCTGGAAAAGAGAGGTGAAGGATTTGACAATTTAAGTAGAAACTATGAGAGAGAGAGAGAGAGTGTGTGTGTGTGTGTGTGTGTGTGTGAATGCATTCCAGTTTCCAAATCTTTCTAATATGTGAAGTTGTAACTGACAATAAATAGTAAGAATAATCTTTTTCTTTTTTCTTTTTTTTAATAGGATAGTAGCTTTTCACAGTACCTTAAGCTATGGACTTAAAACTAATATTCTTTGAGAGGGAGTTCCCAGCCTTTTTGTCTAAAGGAAGCAATTAGCAAGTTTCCTTATCAGAGCTAAAGCCCTCTTTGATGTTGCTTACCCATCTACCCTGCAATCTATTGCTAAGAGCTACTTCTTAATTGGAATTCTTTGTTGATGTTTGTGGGTCTCCCCTGCAATCCACAGTTGGGATCTGCTCCCTTAAAGCACTGCAGTCTGGAGCTGAGCACTATTTCTTATCAGTCCTAGAACAGAGGATGGCACCAGACTATCTCTAGGACTTAAATAAGGCTGAGCTGACTCTGAACTATCAGGCCTGGATACTTGGATAAAGGAAGATGTTGGAAGAAATTCTCACATATTGCATTGCCTCGTATCTCCTCTATGTAAGTCCTCACAGTCACCAAGACAGGTAAGAGTGTATCCCTTGCTTGTTGTTGATGTTACATCAGAAACAACACATAGTTGACCCTCTAGTGACTTTTCAGAGGCTGTAAATTACACAGAAGTAGATTGTCCATCTTTTTCCTGCAGGGCTATGGGTGAATTCAAACTGCCTGCATTTGAATTGGTAGTCTAATTCCATACCAAGAGTCCATCTGTCCTTACTTGTATGTATATAATAAGGACTCTTTTATTATACTTAAACTCCAACCTTGGTTTCCAAATGGGATTCCCTCGCTGCCCCCCCCCCCCCCCCAGTGGTAGGTGGCAGAGCCATGTATTTCCAGTAACAAAGATTAATGAATAAGATGCCTCAGGTAGGTAAACACTATTGGTTCTGGTCAAGTGGCAAGTGGCAAAGAAAGGAAGGGAAGCAGTTTCGTTAGCAAGTGTTAGAGATCTGGCTGTCTGGGATGAAGAAAACATACCAAGGTTGCACTCTTGCAAATGTCTAGAAGGCCACTTTCCTATTTTAAAAGTGTTCTTACCCACGTTGCTTTCAGCAACCAATTCCACTTTTTCCTTGTCCTCAAGCAGCTTACACTGTAGTGAAACACTTCCTAATCTTCCAACATCGTGGCAAATGTTTCCATTATTATTTATATACCACACTTATCAATCTTTCAGCCTATCTCTAGCTTCTTCCATGCAACCATATTTTCACTGCATACTGATTGGGAAGCTCTGTTCTAAAGTCAGTAAATAAGCAAATTAAGAAAAAAAGAATTAAAATAATTCTAACAATATCCAAGAGTTAGAAAAGAATGTAAAATGAAGTATTTTAACTAGGTTGGCTATAGATGGCTCTCTCTGGAGAGACGATCTGAGCTGAAATATAAATAAGATCTGGCTCTGGTGGTTTAGTGGTAAAGAGTTGTGCTGCCAACCCAAGGATGCATATTTAGAATCCACCAGCTGTTCTGTGGGAGAAAGATGGGCAATATCTTCCTGTGCGATTTACTGCCTCTGAAAACCTGCTGGAGGGTCAGCTATGAGTCAGCTCTAACTCAATATTATCTAAAACCCACAAACTTTAAAACAGGGGATTTTCCACTTAATCCTAAGTACATCTAAAGCAATGAAAAGAAAAAAAAATTAGGTGGAGCTATTCCACTCCTTTTCAAAAGCCATTTTAAATATACATGGAATAACTTGGAACAAGGAAAGGAAGCTCCACCTTTCTGCAACTAATTATTGATAAGAAATTGCTTTCTTTAATGGCAATGATAGAGGTTAAAGGGTATATTTCAGTATTTTCAGTGTATCTTCCATTGGCTTTTCCAATACTATGCCACCTCTCCCAGGGAATAAAATTGTGTGTTAACTTCTGAAGTCTTTTTTTCAAACTGTTCATACTAAAATATGTAGTGACATTTTCTTGTGTTTAGAAAGCAATTGTTTCATTTAAATATATTTAAAAAAATTTTTGCTTATTTCTGTTATTAATTTTTTGACCAGGATAAACTTGCATTTAAGTTCTGAGTTTCCCAGAAATACTTTGGTACTTCAATGAAAGAACAGAGTGCCTTTTCTATAAAAAGATTGAAGACATTTTATGAAGTGAACATTGACTTTTCTGCAAAATTAGACCAGTCAGCAACAGCAGCACATTTCAGGGAAGAGGTTGCACTGGTATTTGAGTAAAGTCTTCAAGGAGAACTACTTGATAAGCTAGCTCCACTTGAGATGCATTCTCTTCTTTTTTTACTAATAAGCCCCAATTTTATTCATATTTCTTTGAACAATCTTGTCCTTTCATGGAGAATGGGTTCCTTCCTACCTCAGGAGAAAAAAACATATAATGATCTAAGCTTTTGTTTTTCTTTTTTTTTTCACCAATAAATAGAAATTTTATTGCTACTACTGTAGTTTTGAGTATCCAGGTGCCCATTAAATTGCTGTGAGCCCATTAAATGTGTGAGTTACAACTCACACATATTTTGTTGTGATTGTTAGATGCTGTCAGATTAAGCAAGACCAATATCTACCCTATTATGAACAACAGATCTGAATCCTGTGACACCCTCATACTTCCTGACACACTGTGATGTTGTGACAGGTACTATGTCAATCCACTTGGTTGAGAGTCTTTCTCCCTTTGCCAACCCTTTGCCTTTCCAAGAATCATGTCCCTCTCCAAGGAACAGCCCCTCCTAGAAAAATGCCATATGAGATGAAACTTATCATCTTTTCCTCCAAAGAGCCCTCTGGCTGCTCCCTCTCCAAACATACTTGTTTGTTCTTTTGGCAGTCCACAGATGTTCAACATCTCCAACATCAAAGGCATCAATTATTCTCACACTTATCAACTGCACACTTTCCCAGTCCAATATGTCTTCTTATTTCCTGACTGCTGATACCAACCAAAGGTGGATTCAAGTAAGATGGTATTATTGACAGCTTCAATCTTTTTTTCATTTATCATGATGTTGTCTATTGGTCCAGTGGTAAGAATTTTTGTTTTCTTGACATTGAGATGCAAACCATGTTGAAGGCTGTATTAGCCAATCTTCTGCAACAAGTGTTTCTAATCTTCCTTACTTTCAGCAAGCAAGGTTGTGTCATTTGCATATTGCAGGTTATTGATGAGTCTTCCTCTGATCTGTATACCACATTCTTCTTCACAGTGTCAAGCTTCTTTAATATTTGTTCAGCATACAGATTGAATAGGTATGGAGACAGTACAACCCTGACACACTCCCTTCTTAATTTTAAACCATGTAAGTGTTCCCCTGCTCTGTTCACACAACAGCCTCTTGGTCTAGGTATAGGTTTCACATGAGCACAATTCAGTGCTCTAGGATTCCCATTCTTCTCAATGGTAGCCATGACTTATGATCAACATAGTCAAATGCTTTTGCATGGTCAATGAAACATAAATAGACATTCTTCTGATATTCTTTACTGTCAGCCAGGATCTATCTGACATTAGCAATGATATTCCTGGGGGCACGGCCTCTTCTGAATCCTGCTTAAACATCTGGCAGTTTTCTATTTATGTACTGTTATAGCTGCTTTTTAATGATCCTTAGAAGTATTTTGCTTGCATGTGATATTAATGATAACATTTGATAG